GGATCTCGGACCAGGAGTCCATGGTGACGGATCGGACGAAGGAGATGTGGACACCGAGGCCGCGGTGCTTGCCGGAGCACTCTAAGCACATGAAGACGCCGTAGGATACCGAAGCCCATTGCGGGTTCTTCTGGGAGCAGTCGACGCAGATCTTGTTCCCTGGCTGCGATTGCAGGTCCCGGAGCCGCCGAGATGCCGCCATTTTTTGGGGGTACGATCCGTTCCGATCTGAATCGGATTGTACAAAATCGGATCAAAAAATTGAGATCAAAATTTAAGGAAAAAAAAAAAGAAGAAGAGAGAATTTAATTGAGAGGAAGGGAGGCGGAATGTCACCCTGTTTGGGGAGAGGAATTAGAATGAGGAGAACACCGACAGCGTTAATTCGTCGAACACTTTTTATAGTTTTATGGATTAGAAGAACAGATGGAGTCCACTGCTCTCTGGCTGCATATCTCAAGGGTGGCACGTGCGGTGATTTTTAGTTTTACTTCTCTGTTCCTTCCTATGAATTTAGAAACAACTAACTTACTAAATCTGTTTCAACCAAGAAACAATGTTACTTGATTCGTTGGTTAACGTATTTTGTGTGACAGTTTATCATTTCATTCAACTTTCATTTTATTTCATCATCTTGTTAAATCGAACAATTATATTGTTTTTTTTTTTACCAATTCACGCGCAAGTTTATAACTAGCTAAAATTTATTGTTTCACACAATTATTTACTCTAGTATGAAACGATTGCCAAAAGAAGAAGACCCATAAATTGGTAAGTTTGGAAAAGAAATACGAAACGGGTAATTATGGTGACGAAAATATTTCAGGGCAAATTGTTGAAGAGTTATAATTCCATTATAATCTCTTACTCTATCTTCCAATTGTTTTTGTTAATTTAGTATACGTATATTAGAGTGTACAATAAAATTAGATGTTTTGGTTATAAAAATGGCGACTGAGAGGGTAGCTTCGACCTCTTGCCCTAGCTATGGGGTATGCTAAAAGTTAGATCTTGTATATTCTCTAACTCGCATTTTGACTAAACCTTATTAGAAGGAGTAGTCGCATGTATGCGATACTAATATTTGCCATAAAAAGTCAAAAATATTCTTAAGTTAAAAAACCAACTGGAAGAAGAGTAGTTCCAAGTGTTTTTCCTTAAACAACTGCCATTCGCATTATTAGGCAATATTCATTAGGCCCATAAGCCCACTCTAACTTTGGATCTTGAAACTGAACATTGCCACATTCGAAAGAAAGAGATGGAGAAGATTGCAGAAGAATGAGACCGTATAAAGGTATACAAATGGGCTTAGGGCTTTGCTAGACACTGAAAAGCTCAAATGATTATTTTTCAATTACAATAAAAGCCCAAATAATTTCAAGCCTGTAACATCTCTCCGAAAATTTGTTGTAAATAAATATGCCTACCCCCGCATGAAATATTGAAGGAAAATAAATTGAGTTATTTACACTAATACTCTTTGAGGTTTTCGGTTTTTTCACAATGGAAAAATTTATGAAATTGAAACTACATAGTCAAAAGTAGTTGAAGTGTCACACTACATTGACCAAAAGTGACTTTTGGCCATGATTTTATACACACAAAAATCTCCAATGACAAAGTTGGCTTTTAAGATTAGATTGCATATACTTCATTGAGGTTTATTTTGTCATTTGCATAAGTTTTTAAAAAAAAAATCATCAATTTTTGGACAAACAATCAACGAAAATGAGTTTTATAAAAACAAACTGAAACCTGAGGAGGTTTTGTGAAAACACAAAAATTACAATTTTACACTAGGCCCCAATTTCCATATCTTATAAGTATAAATGAGTTTTGTAAAAACAAACTGAAACCTTGGTCCTGATTCTCAATTATTTTCTAACTTTCCAATTTTACACTTATAATTTTTGTAATTACAGAGAGAGAGAGAGAGAGAGAGAAGAAATTCTTAACTATGCCACTTTCTCCTTTTTCTTTTTTCTTTTTCACGGAAAAGAAAAAATCGATATTATAGTATTGCAAAGGAAACCGATACAAGTTGAAGTTGCATTGTAATCCCATTGATAGAAAGCAACCCCCACATGCGTGTTAATGCAGTCAATAATATTAGGTTGAGTCCTGCTCATTTTAAAATTTTAATTAAAGCCTTAGGACCTCCTTATTGAATAGCCTAGTTTTAAAAAGCTGATAACTTTTATGCACTATTATGCTCTGTTTGCTTAATGGGAAAGGAGGTTTGGAGATGGAAAATCAATTGCTTTTCCATGTTTGGTAAGTCCAAGTATAGGAAATAATTGCCTCGCATATAGGAAAGTATGAGGAAAAATGAAGCTATCCTCCTAACTTGGGTTTTGTTTTCCCTTCTTGTGGGAAAGTTTGGGAAAATAATTCAACAATAAATACACATTTTTCATGATTATTTTGTCCCCATTAACAATTTGAATTACAATATATCATTACATGCATTCTTTTTTAATTTGATGTAATATTTGTATAATTGAAAAATAATACGAACTTTGTTTTCCATTCATACTCAAAACAAACATGAGAAAGGAAATAAAGTAATATCTCCTAGTTACTTTTCCGGCATTACCAAACATGGAAAAAAAATCTTCCATTTTCCATCAACTGGAAAATAACATGGGAAATGATTTCTCTTCAAATCTGTTCCGTGTGTGAACCAAACGAAACCTTAATAGAGATAAGTCTCACACACACCCGTGCATTATAGTACCTAGAATTAAGAAAAGGGAGTTTCACTAAAACACCCAAAATGGAGGTTGAAATTATAAAAAAACCCAACACCCAAAACACTTTATAAACACACCCAAAGCCCATCATTACACACACTCAAAACCCATTTATAAACACACCCAAAAAGTTGACTTTGGGGTTGATTTTGGGTGTGTTTCTATGTTTAAATAGTGCTTGGATTTTTTTATAAATACATGTCTAGGATTGAGTTTCTTTATAAATTTGTATTAAGAAAACTCATACGTCATACTCATAAAGTCCTAGAATTAAGGAAAATCAATCACATGTTCATTTATTTTGATATTGAAATAATTCTAATTCTGTTAAATTTGAATTAGGCATGTTGGTCAAAAAAACGAAAAAAAGAAGAAGCAAGTTTCACAGTAAAATTCGTAATCAAATACATCACTTCCCTCATTCTAAATATCAAATCAAATTGATTTTCAAATTTAGGTATTGAAACACAATGAATTTTGACATCCAAGCATCTTCACCGTTTTGGTAAAGAGAGCTAGTTGGGAGAGGGGTCAGTCATTCTTTATTTATATTTCATAGCTCCATACTCTTTTTTTCTGTGGTCTCATCTCGTGGACTTTTCTTGACCCTCAAAGGATAAGCCTTACAATAAGGTAAGTAATTTTTCCACTTCCTTTTTATCCATCTACACTTCTTTTTGTTCAGAAAAATAAAGTGTAAATGGATAAAAAGATAGTGGAAAAATCAGTCCCCTACAATAATACTGCAGAGAGACAGCAACTGTTCGCTCGGATGGATCAGTCACTGTAGCCAATACGCATGCCAATGTCTACAGTCTTTTATGACATTTCAAAGGATTGGATGAGCATGAGTATATTTAATGTCAATGCACAAACCATCATAATTTAAATCCTTTCTTCTTTGTCGACAAGTCTAATCCACTGGAAAAAGATATTATCGCACATATTTATGGTCTCAAATTTCAACATTTGTGTGAGAAATTTTCTACTCTTGCAGTTGAGATTATCGTTTATATTAAAAGAAAAAAATCTTCTTTTTTTTTTTCCTTATTTACTTATGCTTTTAAGGTTGATAGAAACAAAGAATTAATGCCCGAATGTTATTCCTATGTTCACAATACTAGGATTTTGGTAAATCAAGAAAGGCAGGAAGACACATTTAGACACAATTTTTGGTTTCTGAGAGGGAGAGGGATCAAGTGGGAACGTACGATTGGTGGACGTTCACATGCATTTTGCCTGTTTAGTTAGTTCCCCAGCAACAAAGTAACCACGATGAATTTTATTTATTTATTTAAGCAATGCTAATTAACACTTTCATGAATGGTGATAAGAGATCTATATGAAAACCGCCTAAACCGAATCAAATATCTATATTATTTTTATTTGACTATTAGTTAGGATGTTAGACTTAGATGTTTAGAAATTACAATGGCGGTTGCAATGTTTGTTTTATATGTGTTCGTTTCAACTTTCAATTATAAAATTATTGTGTTTAATTTCACCTAAACCGCCACTCAAACTGCATCGCTTATCAGTTGACTAATTTGACCGTGGATAAAATCCTATCGCTATTCTCTCAAACAAAAAAAACAAAAAACAAAACCTTTATTTTTCCAAAATGGAAGCATGGTCCATTCAAGCAAGCTGATCATGATGAAGATGTTTCATCATTCCAATCTGGGACCTGTTGGATCCAATCGATTCACAAATATATATATATATAGCACATAGTTGGTGTTGTTGGGTAGTTTGGTTTCATATCACCACACAATGTAATGGTAAATTTATTGTGATTGTGCATGCAATGCAACCCCCGACTTCCCTACTTTAGACCAAGTCCTAGGCACACCAATCATAATCAGGTTGATCATTCTACACAAGTTGATGATAAAAATAGAACCCAATTGATATAGGAAGAATTCCCAGTACCAAAAAAAGAGAGCACTGAATTCAAGGATCATGGCTTTCAATTTTCCAAAGAAAGCTACATTGTTGAGCTGTTGAGGGGTTGGTTGAGGCCAATTAACAGCTCTTCACCGAAGAGCATTTAATACTTGTCAACAATGCAGCAGCTCCAATTAAACCCAATTTATTACCTACATTCAACCAGCCCATACATGAATTTCCCATGCATTTCCTTCCTCTTTTTTTGTCCTTATCATCTTATGGTTTGAGGTCTTTTTCTTTTGTCCTCTACCCCTCTCCCAATGCTTTGTTTCCAAGTGTTATAAAAGTTTGTCTCACTTATTTGTGGAGCGACAGGAAAAAAAAGAGGAACTTGCTCTGTGCTTCTGTGTGAGTTTTCTGATTGGGATTGGGTCTTTTGTGTGATTTTAGGAAATGGGTATCTTTGCATTGGTGACAGGAAGGCCAGGGCCTAGTGGGTTTGGATCAGCTTCCACTGCTGCGCAGGTCACTGATGGAGTTGATGCTAGCAACCTTACTGCTATTGTCACTGGTCAGCTATAACTTTTGCATTTTCCTCTTTGAATTCTGTGTTTTTGTTTCTTAATGTCCTTTCTTTTGGGTTTCTGTGGCTCCTTGAGAATACCAATCAGATGTATTGAGTCATTATCATGATAAATCTTGGGTAGCAAGCAAAAAGCCAACAGCCCAACACTTCTATTTGCTTAACATTTCTGTTCCTGTTTGTGAAATGCAGGCGGGGCAAGTGGGATTGGGTTGGAAACTGCAAGGGTCTTGGCACTTCGAAAAGCCCATGTCATCATTGCCGCCAGAAACATAGAGGCTGCTAATGAAGCAAAACAGGCTATTATTAAAGAAAATATAAGTGCCCGAGTGGATGTTCTGAAACTTGACCTCTGCTCCATCAAGTCTGTTGGAGCATTTGTTAACAGCTTCAATGCTCTTGATCTTCCTCTCAACCTCTTAATGTAATGGTCTTTTTCTCTCTTATTTTATTTAGGCTTCATGTAACGTTTTAACATCTGCATCTTATTCAGTTTTTAAGAAATTGGTGGTTTATGTTGCAGAAACAATGCTGGTGTCATGTTCTGCCCCCACCAGCTTTCGGAAGATGGAATAGAATTGCAGTTTGCAACCAATCATCTTGGTAAGTCCTACTTATTTGCTTTCTGAATTGGGAATTATTGTAAGGCCTATCCCATATCCTGAATTGGGAAAAATATATATGAAAAAAACAGGGTTTTATACCTTTGTTACTTATTTGCATTCTAGTTAAGCCAATTACCAATTTTACAGGTCATTTTCTCTTAACAAACCTTCTCCTTGAGAAAATGAAGAACACTGCTAGAACTACTGGTGTGGAAGGCAGAATTGTGAATCTGTCATCCATTGCTCATGTACACACTTATAAAGACGGGATTCATTTCGATAAGATCAACGATTGGATTAGGTATCTTTTTTCCACAGTGGTTATTCATAAATAAAAAGATTATGACAAGCAGCTAGTTCATAGCTCTTTAACATGGTGTTTGTTTTTTTTTTTGTGTCCCCTCAGTTACAATGACAAAAGGGCGTACGGGCAATCCAAATTAGCAAACATACTTCATGCCAACGAGCTCTCTCGTCGATTGCAGGTGATCCTATTTCCTACATAATTGCTCATAGAACCCTAGCTCAACCCCAAGTTATCTTTATCATTCTCATTATAGCCAAATGAAAACAGGTACATGGTAGTTGTGGTAGATGAATGTTTCCAGTTTCATTAATCACTGCCCTCCACTAGTTAACTATAATGTCCAAAGACTCTTCAATAAGCATTTGGTGAGACCTACATGATTATGGAGGCACATGAAGTAGTGGGGCTGGCTGGTGGACAATGTAGTATATATGGACATGGTGTCCTGTCAAGAGTCGATTGAACGTTAACAAAAGATGGCTCTCCGTACGTTCAGGTCTTCAATGCTTTGCGGGGACCAAAAACATAGATGAAATAAATTTTGGGAAGGAGAGGAGGCCCATAAATGGAATTTTAAATTCAATCACTGCCGCATTCATGGTCCCATAGACAGACATGTATCCTGTACTGTACTCACAGCGTGTGAACTTTGAATCATAAGGACCGTTTGCATGAACGACTGTGAGTCCTTGGTGAAATTCTCTATCCTCAAAGAGTCTAGAAGGAAGTGAACTTTCTCTCTAAGATAGGGTCTTAATTTGTTGGGTAAAATCTAGTTGGGAGGTAGGCATAGTTTTGATGAATTGTTACCGTACTATCAATTTACACCGGGTAGGTCGGCGTGATTTCTTTCGGTCCAACTGGCTAAAACCTAAACAGAAAGCTTTAAAATTCCAAGCAGGCAATTTATTGTGTTGGACGAACTCATCCGTGAAAAGTCTGACAATGAAGGTAAATTAAAATGCAAGTAATCTGCTCTAATTAAGTGGCAAATTGCTTGCCGTGCCGTGCAGGAAGAAGGTGTGAACATAACGGTCAATTCAGTCCACCCAGGGTTGATCATGACACCTCTCATGAGGCATTCTGCTCTTCTGATGAGTATGTACAAATATCCCATGCATAATTTGATATTCCCACCCAACATATATATGCACTTTCACATATTGTAATTTGTATTACAGCTAGCTAGGCCATTAACTTTGATCATCTTTGTTATGCAGGAACTCTGAGGTTGTTCACCTTTTGGATTTGGAAGAATGTCCCTCAGGTGATTAATTAGTTAATCTCCATCAAATAATCTCAATTTTTTTTTAGTAAAAGGGATTAGGGTATAAGAGGGTTTACACACAAACATTCCTGGATGCCTGGGGTTTCAAACCTCTGCTCGCTTGAGGCCAAAGAGCTCAACCAACTGAGCTAATCTCAATTATAATTCATTGTTTAATATATCTTTGCATGCATTGTCCGAATTGAATGTTTTATCAGGGAGCAGCCACAACAATGTATGTAGCCCTGCATCCAAAAATGAAAGGTGTGACTGGAAAATACTATGTGGACTGTAACGAGATGAAACCCAGCTCATATGCTAGAGATGAAAAGTTAGCCAAAAAGCTCTGGGACTTCAGCAACAAGTTGATTGATGGAGCTTCCAAAAGCTGATTATTTAAAAAGCACCCTCTCAATCTTTGATGCCTATTTTTATATAAAGCTTGCTTGCAAGGCATGAGCCTTATGTTTGTGGAATTTGGGTTTGATTGAAATGGTTCATAGATCATAGTGATTGTTGTTTGGTCGTTTGTTGATAATAATTTTGTATTGTAAAAAAAAATAATGTAATGGGATTTGGACAGAGCCAGGAATCTCATTAATGCATACAGCCAAAGCTTACTAATAATTAGCAACAATAACAATGTACAACCACGATTAAACAAGATTAAACCTTCAATCATAACAAGAAAAACAAAAGACTACAAGAAAGACACACAAACTCACAAAAACCAGACACTCAAGACAGAAACCATAGACATTCGACTATAAAATACATAAATTATTTGTTCAAAATTGATGACATCCTTCCATGCTGGGGCCAGTTGGTGATCGGGTTGTTTCACAATTACTTACAGCCCATTCGTTATTGACTATTAACAGATTAATGAGGCCATTAAGAAGGAGCATTTGATATTATTCGTTATTGACTATTAACAAATTTTAACGATATCAATAAAGTTTTAACAACAAAAAAAATATTTAAAACATTTGACACGTATAAAAACCACATTGGTGGTGACCGCAGTGAATAACTTTTCGGTCAATTGAACCTAACTTATTACATACATTCAACTCATCCTACTCGAGTAATTTTTAGGTTTGGTATTATGGTACATGTTCATTAATACTAAACACTACGTGCATAACACGTCAGCTCTGTTGTTCACCCAAAGTTTATCTCTTATAACCCACGGATGAATCAAACCGCGTAAAAACCATCGCGCTCAAAAATTTCTGGCCGGTGTTCATATTTATTCCCATGCATTTGTGATCTGTGTCTGTGGCATCTGTCTTTTACCCTCCAAGTTTCTAACCTCTCCCAAAGCTGTGGTCCATTTGTTATAAAAATAGAGTCCATCAGTTTGGCTCATATTCATTGTGTGCTGTGACCTTCTCTGTCTGTAGGTTTCTTGATTGAGACTCTCTCTTTCTTGTGATCTTAGGAAATGGGTATCTTTGCATTGGTGACAGGAAGGCCAGGGCCTAGTGGGTTTGGGTCAGCTTCAACTGCTGAGCAGGTCACTGAAGGAGTTGATGCTAGCAACCTTACCGCTATTGTAACTGGTCAGCTAAATTTTCATTTTCCTCTGTGAATTAATTCATCTGTTTGTTTCTTCTTTTTATTTTTCCGGTCTTTGTCGGGTTCTTTATTTCATTGGATGTTTCTGTTTCTGGTGTTAATGGCCTTTTTTCTTTTCATTTTTTGGGTTATTTTTATTTTTATTTTATTTTATAGTAATAAGAAGAACAAAAAAATAGACATGACCCAATTAAACATGAAATTAGGAGTGGTAATATGGCTTTTGAATGCAAATTTTTGCAAATCATTTTCTGAATTGTGTTGCAGAGCTACTCTGCATATAGAGACAGAGAGCAAGCCAATATGCTTCTTCCCAGTTTGATTAACATTTCTGTTCCTGTTTGTGAAATGCAGGTGGGGCAAGTGGGATTGGGTTTGAGACAGCAAGAGTCTTGGCACTTCGTAGAGCCCATGTCATCATTGCCGCCAGAAACATAGAGGCTGCTAATGAAGCAAAACAGGCTATTATTAAAGAAAATATAAGCGCCCGAGTGGATGTTCTGAAACTTGACCTCTGCTCTCTCAAGTCTGTTAGAGCATTTGTTGATAGCTTCAACGCTCTTGATCTTCCTCTCAATCTCTTAATGTCATCCTCTCTCTCTCCTTATTTAGTTAGTTTAATATGATATTATTAACATATTAGCATTTTCAATTTCTTCGGTTTTATAAAAATTGGTGATTTATGTTGCAGAAACAATGCTGGTGTTATGTTCTGCCCCCACCAGCTTTCAGAAGATGGAGTAGAGGTGCAGTTTGCAACCAACCATCTTGGTAACTACTGTTATCTTTTCTGTTGAGATGTATGAGATTTCAATTGAGGCCCATCTCACATGAGAGAATTGGGGGAAAAGGAATTGAAAAAAGAATTGGGCTCCCAACTTTTTCACTCATTGCATTTTAGTTAAGCATATAACCTTATTTTACAGGTCATTTTCTCTTAACAAACCTTTTGCTTGAGAAAATGAAGAACACTGCTAGAACTACTGGTGTAGAAGGCAGAATTGTGATTCTGTCATCACTTGCTCATACAACCCCTTACCAAGAGGGGATTCAATTCGACAAGATCAACGATCGAATTGGGTAAGGAATAATTTGAGTAATCCAATATTTTTCCATATTGATTATTTATAAGCAGATAGCTCACAATCCTGTAACTTAAATGTTTTTTGTACTCAGTTACTCAGAACTGAAGGCATATGGGCAATCCAAATTAGCAAACTTACTGCATTCCAATGAGCTTTCTCGTCGATTGCAGGTGATCCTATTTCCTCTATTGTCGGCAGAAAGCCCCAACCATTATTTCACATTAATTATTCGACACTAGTGCTGTGCAGAGACACATGGTATACAAAAAATGTGCTCACAGAACCCCAGAACAGCTCTAATTAGTAATCACTGTCATTCAATTGAAGCCAGAAAAAACAGGTGCATGGTAGTTGTGTTAAGTGAGTGTTTGATGGTTCATCAAGGGTCCCAAGCAAGTAACTAGTGTCCCATAAGCTTTGGTGAAGAGACCTACATGCTTGTGGAGGCACATGAAGTAGGGCTATGAGCTAAAAAATAGAAACAGATTGAACTTTCACCAAAGTATGTACAGAGATTATAATTGCTGCTGGGAAAAAAAAAATTCAATGAGCAAAAAAATAATTGTATATCAATCACTGTCCTCAAGTGGGTAACCTGACAGGCTCCCGTAGACATATACACCATACAAATAGACCTATACTAAAGACTTCGTCTTGCTCCTCTCAGTAGTTACCAATTTAATATGTTATGTTGTCACATATCAATTAACATGTTTACGCTGACATGATTTATTGATATTCATGATCGGAGTGATTAACAAGTGGGGAGATAAGTTAACCGTGAATATAAAGTTCTAAAATTCCATACATGCTCTAACATGGTATATTGCTTTATGTGCAGGAAGATGGTGTGAACATAACAGTCAACTCAGTTCACCCAGGATTGATCATGACACCTCTCATGAGGCATTCTCCTTTTTTGATGAGTATGTTCCAATACTCCATGCATATTTCCAATTTATACAATTAAGCATTTTATAATTAATTAATTTTGACCATCTCTGCTATGCAGAAACTTTCAAGTTGTTCACCTTTTGGATGTGGAAGAATGTACCTCAGGTGATTAATTAATTAATCTCCAACTAATGATCTCTCTTATTTACAATTATTTGTTCTAATGGACCGAGGGATTAAATTAAAAATATATTTTGAATGCAATCTCTCTGATTGTTTTCAGGGAGCAGCCACAACATCATATGTAGCACTGCAACCTAAAATGAAAGGTGTGACTGGAAAATACTTTGTGGACTGCAACGAGATGAAACCCAGCTCACATGCTAGAGATGAAAAGTTGGCCAAAAAGCTTTGGGACTTCAGCAACAAGTTGATCGATGGGGCTTCCAAAAGCTGATTATTTAAGAAGCATAAGCATATCCTGTGAATCTGAGATGCCTACCACTTGGAATTGCAAGGCATAATCATTTACATATAGTGATTGTCACTTATCATGTGCTTCTTTATAGTGATGGGATTTGAGTTGGCTCTTTCATTAGTATGAGGTTGACAAATCATCCTTAGAACAATCACTTTTCCCCTAAGCTGGAATGGGAAGCGAAAATCTCTCTTTTTCTCCACCAAGTCCAGCTTTCATTCATTTCAAACAAAGTTATTCAATGTGATAAATTATTTAGTGTGACGGTAATACTATGCTAGCATTATCATGAAGCATAATAGTGTTATAAGTCTACTCGAATGATAAGATTATTGTTTTGATTTTGATGCAAAATCCAACTATACATGCTTTAATGTTCAAAAATCTATACATGCGTCAACGGTCAGAAATCGCTCATGCGTAACTAACTATTAAGTAATTAATATTTGCCCTCACAAACAACAATTTCTCTTATATATGTTGGTAAAGAATAATATCATCTATGTATTTATAACATGAGCCATCCAACTACAGAGCAAAGCACTAAAAACCTATATCACGTCATAAACATTAATTAAGCACCAAAAATTCTATATCTTCAACCAAAAAAAACACACAAAAACTCAAGTGCTTTTTCCACAAAGCGAGCCCAACAGGCCCAACTCAAGGGACCTCATCAGTCTCCCACAAGCCCACGGCTCGAACCAGGAAAGCCGACCCAGCCACCACAACCGCCGCGAAAACAGGGGGCACGATGAAATCGATGCTGGACTTGCTGAACAAGTGAGCCGGCAAGCACAGGATATCTCCCGGCACGTCCGAAGGAACCCTAACGTAGCCTTCCGAGTCGCAGGCGCGAGAGAAGGAAGACGTTGACGAAATGGAGGATACGAACGCGACCTCGGGGGAGAAGGAGGCCACGGCCACCGTCAGAGTGAGCAATGTGGTCCACGTGGCGGCGTAGATTAGCACTGGCCAGCGCGAGGAGACGGTCGTGAGGGTGGAGGTAACGAGCGAGCGGAGCATGTTGTTCTTTGGGTTTGGGAAGACGAAGTGGTGAGGTTGGGAGTTTATATAGGCATGCGATTGGGTGGTCAAAAATCTGGGTCAAAAGTCTCACAGAGAGAGAGAGAGAGAGAGAGAGAGAGAGAGAGAGAGAGAGAGAGAGAGAGAGAGAGAGAGAGAGAGAGAGAGAGAGGGGACCTAATTTCAACGACTTTGTGAATTTTGGAGTTTAGGTGGAAGAAGATGGGAAATGACCCATATTTGTTGACTGCTCATATTTGTTTTGGTGGTTCTATTTTAATTTTAATGTGGAAATCGTATGTTGCAAGACTCTGAATCAGATCACGAATTCGAACGAAAATGTACACAACGGTGGTTCAGATTCAAATTCTGAATATTTGCACTCTTCACACTACACTTTTATTTCTATTGAAGTAGATGAACATGTTACAAACAACAAATATGTAGTGGAATGGATTTGGAGACAGTAGCAAACCTAACATACACCTGCTTGTATACACAAAGGTTTTTCTGGAAGCTGATTTCATGTTTACACATTATGAACACGAAGATGGGCAAGATGATTTCATGTTTACACATTATGAACTCGAAGATGGAAACGCTTTCTCTCGAAGCGACAGAAAAACGAAGGCACCATATGAGAGGACGATTGCGGCAAGCATAATTATCAGCATTGCCTGCAATGAGATGTATGAATTGATAAAGAAGACGACTGCAATTGAAGCGCTCTGCCAGACCTTCAGCTGTGCAAATGCTCCTTCCTGTTCCCCAAAAGAAACAGACTGAATATCAATACAATGGTTGTTCTGAACTTCATAAAGAACAAGAACTTAAAAAGGGGAAGAATTAGAGAAAAGGTGTAGTCAAATACAGTGTCGTTCTTGAAGAATATCCCAAGCAAAGCACTCAGCTGTGTATTTAAGACTCCATCACCAATGCCCAAGAGAGCTGCCATTATAAGAGGGTAGATAATACCGAGTGCACCACTCACTGGGCTGCATCATAACAAGAAGATAGCAATATCTTGAAATTAGATATTCTCTTTTTTCGGCCAATCATTCGAATTAGATATTACTGTAACAATTTCAAAGTCTACAAAACTGTAGTACGCTACACGTAAATACTGCTAACCTGTATAATAAAAGAATCCACAGGAATATAATAGCCTGAAGGAGGACTCCACCAGAAACTATAATAGTGATGGACTTGACACCAGAGGTGAGTCGACCAGCAGTCAAAGAACACTGACACATGTTCAACCCAAATGTGAGATCACAAATATAACAGACCAAAAACATATCGCACACCAAAAATCTGTATGCCTTTAACTCCATATATCGAGCATGCATATGCAATATCAAGAAAAGCTCCATTCTTGCTATCCAAGAAATGGTCTAATAAAGAAAAGCCATGATCAGGCAAAGGGAAGAAATGTAGGTTATTGGTTATGGCAGCAAGAACTGATGTTAACACACCCCCTGGGCACTCCCAAAAGAAGACTAGTGCAGAGGAAAGTTTTTTCTAATAATTAAGTTTCCACGTTTCAGCCACTCCCGAAAAAAGAACAAGACAACATAAAAGAAGCTCAATTTGCATTAGCATTTGAATCAACCAAAATATCGATTTTGAATGCTATGTCCACTGAGCTAACTAATAGTACACATTGTATTGAAAATAATGATGCAAACTACTTGTATCTGCATATATACTTACTATTGCATCAAAAGCCCCATAAACTGCCATTGCACCACCAACACCAGACACACCGAGCGTTGGAGTAACAATATACTTGGTGTATACAGCCCTAAAATAAGAATAGTTTTGCAATGCTTAATAATGGAACAAACAAAAGAAGAATCAGAATAAATCAAATGATATTCTTTTGGCTATAAGAAAGTAGGCAGCAGCAATTGGTCAAGTAATTACCACACAAATGCTTGTTGTAATCCTGAATACGCCATAAGGGGCATGATCAATAGCATCCGTACATCAAACAAAGGAGTGATGATTGACTTTGACAAAGATAATAGAGAAGCATAAAAGCTGAGAGAAGAGCCCTGGGGGTCCTCCTCACCTTTACCATCCCTTTTATGTAAGAAGCACATCAGTATGGTGCCTAAAGTCATACTGATGAGAAACACACTGAACAAATAGGTTGTGCCGCTAGTACTTCCCCCCTTCAGTGATGGGAAGGAAAATATTATAAAGGCACATAATTTCAAAACACATAATAAATTAAAAATCAGAAATCAGAAAGAGGAGGGAACAGTAAAACTTGATGCATTGTGTCAAAATCCATATTCTGAAAGCTTACAAAACTAGGGCCATCACACTTGTGGGGTCTAACTAGTGAATAAAACGAACAGAAAGGACAAGAAAAACACAAGTTCAACTACAAGGATGGCAGTGGCACATACTGTTCCATCTCTTAGCATGACGAGTGATACAAGATTTCCAATAAACTGCAAAAGTTTAGAGTAACACAAAGTCATCCATAAGAGAGATTACTTTCAGTGAAATCATACATATACGGTCCCTAGAAAAGATCCAACAGATTCACCTGGTGACAGGCAAACATTCCCCAAAATTCTCCATTGAAATGACCGATAACTGTTCCTTCATGCAAGTTATTATCTCTGGCATGACTACGCGCAGTAGAAGTTAAATATGTCCCCTGATAGACCCAAACTAAGTTCAGAAAACAACATTTCTAGCTTTAACCACTAAATACTAAAAAGAGACTTAATACCTGCCCAACCCATATAATTGAAGCAGCAAATCCCATGTACAAAGAAGCTGGAACCATAGTATACCTACATGGAAATACTTCAACAAATAAACATATGCATTGTGATGCATTTATGCATGTAAGTATGTATACAAACAAATTAGTAAATACCAAGTTGGTTTCAAATTTGCAGCTATGAACAACCAGTAGCCAGTAGTCCCAAGAAGCAAAGCATTCTTTGATCCCAATGCTCGAACCACCGGAGACGCCACCAAAGAGAAAAATGTGAAAGACAAATACAAAATCCCAAGTGAAATGGTACCCAAATCATCCTCCTGAACCCAAAATCAGAGTCCCAAATCATCAACCAAATCGATTTTGAAAAAGCGAAAGCAATTATTTTCAATCAAAGATTCAAACTTTAAACTCACAGTGTTGAGACTGGTCTCCAGGTTCTGAGCGGCACCATAAGCGAGGAAAATCAACAAGAAGGCAGAGCTGAGAATATGAATATCTCTTGTATGCTTCCTCCGGCTTTGGATTGGCGAATTTTCGATGATGAGTGGCGTCTCTTCACCACAAAAATCCGCAGACTCCATAGCTTTGAGTTCTCAATACAGTTTATCACAGAATCGCTATAAAACCCTAAACATGTGCGAGAGAGTCCAAATTCCAATCGAGTGAGGCCAAGAGGTGAGGTCACTGCCGGCGAAGAAAATCGAGAGCTAGTTGACAAAGAAAGAGATTGACTTTCAATTTGGGTTTGAGTTCATTAACTCCGAGCACTGTTTGGTTGCTGAGAAAATGTAGTGAAAATGTAAAGATAGTTGAAGTGATTCTCTGAATTTTCGTTGTTGTCGGTTGCGATGGTCGGGAATCAAGCGATAAAGAAAAGCCTTTGTATGCACCGAAGAAATCTCAAGAAACGACAAACAGTTGCTGGAGAAGAAGAGGAAGACAACGACAAACGCCGGACGGACGTTTTGCTAATCTATTCGTTATTGTTGCTGCCAACATATAATTGCAAGGTTTTTTTATATATTATAGTTTAGCCGTGTAGTTTACATATCCCCATGTCGACACTCCGTCAACTTGACGGTGCACAGTAGCTTTTGATTTTTCCTTTGATGATAAATAGCTTCATAGGGACCTTTTTTTTTCTGGAGAGAGAGACAATTATAGGGATTTTTAAGTGAAAATTGAGCTACACTGCAAAGGGTAAAAATGTAATTTAGCATTCTTCTATGCATGATTGTAGATGAGTTGAAAAAGATATTTTATGTAAACCAGTTCTTGCTCTAGTGGTATATCTATTTTCAATATTGACAGGACATCTCGTGACATTTATCCAAAAAAAAAAAAAAAACACACCAGGAATAACAAACACAATGGTAGTCTTGAAAAAGAAAAAAGAAAAGAACTCTTGCACCAGACTTGAAAGAGAGAATCAGTTCAAAAATAGATCTTTATAAGTGGAAACAAAAGAAAACAAAAATTGGAAATCCATCCTCTTGAAGTGGACTTGAACCGAATTCTGATTGCTTGTCAACAGTATGGTGGTGTGTGTGTGATGGTATAATGGTCATTTCCGTTAGTTTTAGAAACAACAGAGGGGATGGTATTTAGAGACAGCACCAACATCATAAAAGTATAAAAACTTGCAAGGATTTTCATTCATGTGCGCACATCATGAACCTGAGCCTGAACTTGAACCTGAACTTGAAGTGAGAGTGCTTTCTCTCCTTTCTGGGATAGGTAAACGAAGGCGGCGTACGAGAGGCAGATTGCAGACAGCATAAGCACCAGCATTGCTTGCAATGAGATGTATGGACTGATGAAGAAGATGAGTGCAACAGCACTACACTGCCACACCTTGAGCTGTGCAAATGCTCCTTCCTGCATTTCCCCAGAAAGCAACAGATTCGAGTCGGATTGTAAATACAAGTGGTTTTGATTCTGAAGTTCATGAATAACAGAACTCATAAAGGAGAAAGGTTAGGGAAAAAGTGTGGTGAAATTGATACCGTATCGTCCTTGAAGAATATTCCAATCAGAGCACTGAGCTGTGTGTTGAAAACTCCATCACCAATCCCTAATAGAGCTGCCATTATGAGAAGGTTTATGGTTCCAAGTATTCCACTTGATGGGCTGCATGATCACAACAAGGTAAAATAAGGAATTAGAGGTTACAAGGTCTTCAAATTGGAGATTGCAATTGCAATTTCAGACTCTTGCAAAACTATAGTACTGTTGCAGGTAAATACTGCTAATTAACCTGTAACATAGAAGAAGCCAGAGGAATATGACAGCCTGAACAAAAGCTCCGCCAGAAACGATAAGAGTGATGGACTTGAGACCGGAGGTAAGGCGGCCGGCAGTGAGTGAACACTGACATAAGTGGCACCAAAATGTGAGATCACAAATATAACAAACAAATCTGCCTATAACAGAATTTATGTTGTCTAGCAAGCATGTGGATTGTATGGATTTTACTTCGCTTTTAACACCTAAAGTTTGAGCATGTTTCTTGCTTCTTTAGAAACAGATTCAATGATCAAAATTAAATCACAGAGGGTACTAACTTAAACTCTTCTTTTCTTAAGGCTAGTTATGACAGCAAGTTATTCTTATATACAATAGGGAAAAGATGCTAATACAATGCCAATAAATCAATCAGAATACTTCTTCCTGCATATATACTTACTGCTGCATCAAAAGCCCCATAAACTGCCATTGCACCACCCACACCAGACACACCGTGCATTGGACTAACGATATACTTGGTGAATTCAGCCCTAAAATTAGAGTGATTGTTGTAGTGAATTAGTAAGGGGAAAAGCAAGTGATATTGTTTTGTCTATAAGAAAGTAGGCAGTGATAATTGGGCAAGTAATTAATTACCATACGAATGCTTGTTGTAATCCTGTATAGGCCATAAGGGGAATGATCAATAGCATCCGCACATCAAACAAGGGAGCGACGATTGACTTTGACAAAGATGACAGAGAAGCGTATAAGCTGAGAAATTCAGCATTATGGGGGTCCTTCTCTAATTCATCATCCCTTTTATTTAAGAAGCACATTAGTATGGTACCTAAGGTCATACTGCATAGAAACACAGTGAACAATAGCGTCGTATCGCTTGGATTTCCCTCCTGCAGATCAAACAATGACAAATTATAAACCCGAAATCGAACAAGTAATGTATGTGCATGATGACTGTTATAATCTAGAAAGGACGAAACAAATGAAAGGATGGCACATACCGTTCCACCCCTTAGCAAGACGAGTGGTAAAAGATTTCCAACAAACTGCAGGAGTTTATAATAAAGATTAGAAGACAAAATGAAAAGCTAAATCTTGATTAACAATGTAGCACAAATGCATAAATAACAGGTCAAACGGATTCACCTGGCGACATGCGAACATTCCCCAAAATTCTCCATTGAAGTTGCCAATAATTGTTCCTTCATGCAAGCCATTATCTCTGGCATGACTGCGTGCCGCAGCAGTTAGATATGTCCCCTGATGAACCCACCCACAATAAGGTTAGAAATAAAATTCTAGCTTTTGCCACAAAAAAACTGAGATTCTATAAAGACTTGTATGTACCTGCTCAACCCATATTATTGCAGAGGCAAATCCAAGGTACAGAGAAACTGGAACCATTATATACCTACAAGGAAACATTTCAAGGCTAAAGCATATGCATTGTGATAAAAATCTTCATAGAAATTTTTTAAAGCTCAAGATTAGTCTTGGTTTGAAAAATAATGAAATATTTGCTCTGCGTTGGGATTTATTTTGGTCTAATGAGCTTTACCAAGTTGGTTTTAAATGTGCAGCTATGAACAACCAGTAGCCAGTGATGCCAAGGATCAAAGAGTTCTTTGAACCCAGTGCTCGAACCACTGAGGATGCCACCAAAGAGAAAAATGCGAAAGATAGATACAAAATTCCAAGAGAAGTGGTACCCAAATTCTTCTCCTGATATGTCAATTTCAAAATTCCAATCAAATCATCAAAAGACTCCAAAAAAAAAAAGGTAAAAAGAAACCAACTTTTGGTTTCTTCAAAGCAGAGGAGATGAAGAAAATGGAAAACCCAACTCACAGTGATGAGAGTGCTCTCTAGGTTTTGAGTTGCACCAAAAGCAAGAAAGATCAACAAGAAGGCACAGCTGAGAATATGAACATCTCTTGCATGACTCCTTCTTTTCAGAACCGGCAAATCATCGACAAGGAGTGGCTTCTCTAGGTCATGAGAAGCAGCAGAGTCCATAGCTTCAAGTTCTCAACCCAACTGATCACAGAACCACTATGAACTCTAGAAAAGTGTGATGATGAGAGACTCCAAAAAAAAAAGAGGGCTAAAAGGAGGATACTTGTGCCAGCAGCAGATACATAATAATGAGCTAGTGGACAGTAGAAACTAATAGAATTAAGGCTGGTAAACTCAAGATTCTGTTTGGTTGCTGAGAAAGTGTAAGGAAAGATTCTGAATTTACTGCCGTGGCAGCTGAGAAACTAATAAAATAAAGGAGCCATGCAGTGTCACTTTCCAAACAAAAAACTATATCTTCTTCTAAAGCTTATCTGATATGATCAGAAGTTTTAAAAAATGCTATTGGGTGCCTATTTGGATACGCATCTCTTTCACATGATGATGAGGCTACTCGGTCTTTATCATGAGAAAATGTGGCTACTCGGTCATGTTTCTCAGAACATGTGATGTGGGGTCAGATTATTTTGTCGATATTCATCATGTAATTTGATTTCATGCAGAAACATATTGGAGCCGTGCCATTTCATTTCAGATGGCGTCATGGACCAATTTGGGATATCTCTGCTAGCTAGAAATCAAAGCCAGCCTATATGAATTATGCAGAAAGTTCTAGCAAGGAGGCCTTTCTTGCATTAGATTACTATTATTGGCAATTGGCCAAGTGGTGAAAACGACAGAAGCTGTTGATGCAAATGATTATGTTAACTGATATTATTTTTCCTATTTTAATCTCACCTTTAATTTCACTTATCTGTATACTTCATTACCTTACAGCTCATAAGGATCACATTGGTTTTTTTTTTTTTTCTGGTGGCAGATTTAGGCCACCAATCAAAGTTATGTTTTGGTCTTGAATGTTAAATCCTCATCCAAAGAAGACATTTGAAATAATATACGTCATTAAATAGTTTATTGGGTATAAATTAGATTACAACACAATATACTAGCTAATAGCATACAATGTTTAACTTGATGAACTTTGATCCTTTCAACCAATGGAGTGTTAGTTTGATTGGCCCAGGGCTTTGGGGTGCTCCCAAGTGGTCCTATGTTCAAGTCCCCATGGTACCTGTGTGTGTGAGTGTTTCCCCCTCCCCCTTCTTAACTTTGGCACACACAAAAAAAGAACATTGATCCTTTCATGTGTTTGCTTTGTATGATTGTCAAAAGCAAATTTATAGTTAATGTTAGTAGGAGATCGGAGGTGTAATATTGGGCATGCAGAACATGCTTATTTACAGGTAAGTTAGTACAAAAATGTGAGAATTCATGCTATGATATGGCTTGAAGGGTTTTCCAAATTGACCAGTTCTTGAAACTCTTTCTCCATCTCTCTTACTTCCCTGAGTAAACTACTGATGCAAAACCCTAGGCCAGCCAAGCAAACAATAACTTGGCTCTTAAGCTTCTTATCCTCACCTTCAGTATTGGTACCAACTCTGTCAGATACTTCATTGGAATGTAGAAGAAAAGAATTTAAAATGCATTCAACCTCTTCCTTCTCTGTCTCCAAACCCCTACGCTCATTTGCTTTTGGTGATGTACCCAACTCAATGTCATGCTTGTCATGTACTGCAAGAGACTTCTTGGAAGACAGCTCTTGGAGGCATTGCAGTGAAGTCTCAACTTTTTTCTTGAAAAGTTCTATGTCATTTTTAATGCACTTCATGGGTTTTTGGAGGTCCTCTGAATCAACTTCACATCTCTGTAAGACAACTGACAGAAATTCTATTTTGTTGGACATAAAAAGTGAAAGATCCCACATCTTTGATAAAGACCTCAGGAGCTTTCTGTAGCAAGAACCATAGAAAGGGATGAACCAGAAATTAGGCTCCAGTTCAGCTTCTTCAATGAACATTTGTAACTTATTGACATGGGACTTCAACTTCTTCTGTTTCTGTCTCAATTTTGGAAAGATTGAAGCTTGCATGTTGTTTTGGTTGTTTTGGTTGTCAAAAAGAACAACATCTTTGATGCAATCTTGAAGAGTTCCCAAGCTAAGTGAAAGTTTATGTTTTGCTAGAGTTGCTGATCTTGCAGGGTATACGAGAATCTCTATGGTGATGAAACAAATCAATCCAATAACAGCCTCTGTGATTCTAGCAATTGCAAAATCAAGTGGAGGGCCATAATGTCTCCTACCAAGTATCAGCAGTGCCCCTACAGCTGCTGATATTCCACCAGCTTGGCCATACATCCTGCTGTGCCTTAGAAAGCTTGTGAAAACTAACCAAGGAAGAAGAGGTAAGAAACTTAGATTCTCAACTTTACGGAAAATAAAGCAACACAAGATTCCGTAGATTGATCCCATTGCCGTAGATTGTGCTCGAGCATTGGCAATTGTAAATGTTGCTTGTCTTCCTCTGACAAAACTTATTGCAATTGTGAGGCCTGCCCAATATGCTTCTCTTTCATTAAACAACAAACCCAATAGCACAGCAAGGCCTAATGAAACTGAGCACTTAACTGCAAAAAGCAGGCTTGTTTTGCTTGGTATAATGCATGAAATGCTCCAGCTCCATTTGATACCACCATTGCTTTGATTTTCTGAACCATGTGAACTTTCGTTTTCAGAGTAGCTCTCCTTGCATTCTTCAAATGCCTCAGTATTTTCTTGGAGGAGTTTCAAACAATCCAGAAAAAAGAAAGCCAGCAAATCTTCACGAAAAATGGTTTCGAGGGGCCAGAAGGACTCATCCAAAGATTTTTCCTTTTTCTTTAGTATGTAGAAGGGGGCAAAACGCTCAAGTTGCTCCAGCTTGTCATGTATTCGCCTTTTCATGTCATGGAAAGCATCTGGTTGCACTTTCTTAATCAAGGCAACAGGAAAAGAAGGGCAAGAAGTTGCAGCAATTTCAATTCCTCTTAAGGGTATTTCTATGTCCTGCAATTTTTCTCCCAGATCCATGCAAGTTGGTTTCAGGATATTTCTGAGTTTTGGTCTCTCCCACATTAAGGCTTCCTATTCAAAAGGGTTTAAGGTTAAATCACAATATCAGCACACAAAATATGAGCAAAGAATCCAAGCTCTTGTATATATTGGTAGTTAACCTGTTTGTGTTTGATACTTCGAAGGAGCTTTTCTCCTACTTGAGCCAAGGGCTGTGCTTGTAAAATAAAGCCAAGTGCAGCCGAGCTGTCATGGGACAAGATGGCATCTGAATAGAAGTTCAACCTTTTCCTAGCGTTTTCAGCATATTTTTGGCACATATCTCTCACCTGTAAATGTTACAAAGCATTGCCATTAGGCCCAGTATCACATGCATTCGAGAGACCAGATGAAGAAGGGAGCATCACTTAAATCTTATTGAAATCTAGAACTGTTAGTGAAATCTTGATTGTGGATGGTTGCATGTGCAAAAAAAATCTGGTACATTCCGTTTTGTTTCCAGTTGCAGTCTTTCGTGACACTTCAGGTTTACTTCGATGAAGTAGAAAAAACAAAAAAAAAACAAAAACAGAATTTTGTGGTGGAATATGGAAAAGACTGAATTGATAGGCATAAGTTCTAAGAACTTAATGCTGCCAACTACTTGCTTTGAAGAAGCTATGTCAGTACAGCATCTATTCCTCCACTGGCCCTTCTTTTAATCAAACACTTAAGAGTTTTCAATTTCTTTCTTAATTCTGACCCTCTTCATTAAACATATTTCGTAAGACTCTGTATATCTTTACCATTTTTAATCCTCTGTGAGCATGCCTTTTATAACCGGAAAAAACAGAAAGACTATATGGGTCCGCATGATTTGAACCATCATGAAATCTGCGTATCATGAAAACTTTGCCCTCATCGCATGCAAGAATTTAGGATCCATATAAAAATGATGCAAACATATGGAGTTGTTGCTTCAAAAGCAAAGCCAAAGACATATATAGATTTGTATTATATATACCTCGTGGTAGGCAAGGTAAGGAGACAGAAAAGCCGCCACAGATGCCTTTTGGTAGAAGAACAAGTTGGGAAACAGCATAGCCATGACTGATGCCGAGGCTCCAAGCATGGTACTCAACGCCACCTGAATCGGGTGCATAAGTACCAACTCACCAGCTTCTGCACAGTGAATGGCAGTGCCTACATACACAATCACAATCTGTCCAAATGCAATCCTCTTGGCCATCAAGTGAGTTGCTCCCGGCAATGCCACAACAAAAGTGCACAGAGCCACTGCCAAGGCTGATATGAAGTAGCTGAAGTGCGCAGGCCCTATCAGCAGGAGGCTCAAGATTGAGAGGGTCATAACCTGAACACAAGCGCAAAGGGCATGCCAGAAGCCTCTCAGCGAGTCACCAAGAGTCACGCCGTCTGACACGATCAGGATGGTGGTGAGGTAAGAGTATGCAGGGTAGGCTACTAGCTGCCTGAGAGGCTGTGGACCGTAGAGGGTGGTGGTGTAGACTATGCTGCAGGCTAAGATGGTTCGGAAAGCTGAGCGTAGCCTTAGGCACCACAAGGCACAGGTCCAGCCAGTACTGCTGCCCGGACTCATAGATTCAGAAGTCTGATGTGTAAGGAGAAATTAAAACCCCCCAAGTTTATAGGTATAACTGAATCATATCATGATCATGATAACAGTAGTGCTTGCCCAACTTGGTTAAGTTGGTTTTTGGATCTTGTTAAAGATATATATAGTTGGCTAAGATTGAACTCAAAATTTCTGCAGGTATATATGTATGTTTGCTTTTAGCATGTAGAGTACAGCTAATGAAATGGTAACAGTGAAGTTTCATGGCATTGGTAGAAACAAAGATTTTTGGAATTTTTACCAGATGTCAATGTGTGAAGATGGGCAGCCACAACAAGTTTAAAGGGTCATGATGTCTTTTTTTTTTTTTTGGGTCTGAACCACGAGGTGGTCCTGGATGGGCCCTAACTATAAGTGGCACCTTTAAACCTTAACCACAACCCAGACTAATCCTCGCTCACACCGGGTCGGCCCGTAAGAGGTAAAGTGCTGGCCAAAGTGGTGACTCCATACGAGAGCAGGGATCGAACCCCTGACCTTCTCTTAAGGAAGGTCATGACGTCTTGACCTTAGGTAAAGATTAAAGAATAAATGCCCACTTGATAAAATTACTTTCTGTGAAAGAATCAGTCAAGTTTAGAGATTTGATGTTTTGGAAACTTAATTCATTGATATGGTGCTTCTCTCTCTACACTTTGGGCTTCCCTGTGAAGGAATTTGAATCTCTTATATACTTTTATTGATAAACAGTATAGGAAATATATACACAGCCATTACTTGGTGATTACACAACATATCTCCTATTCTAGGTAAGGAATATACAGACATAAATACATATAAGCGGCAAGTAAATAATATCTCAATCATATCAGTATTAACGTCCATTACCGTGTTTCTTGGGTTTGGCTTCATTTGATGACACTAATCAGTATAGTTCTTTTCCAGCCAACATTAGAAACTAATATTCCACACATTGGATTTGTCTTAGTCCTATGCTGACTTTCCCAACCTACGGTAGAAACTAAACAAAATCCAACTTAGCGTTGATTTTCCTTTTTGAGAGGGATTTTCTAGAATTTAAACAGCTATCTCCTTTGTTACACCCTAAGCCCAACATGGGAAATCAACTATTACGTTGTGCAGTAGACCAAAATGTATTGCGTCATATTAATTTACTAACTGGTTAAGGCTTGAGCGGCGGCGTATATATATTCTCTCTAGTTGCATCTGTTCCACAAAGATTGTTCCTAGCTATAGCAGAATCTCTCTCTTTTTCTGTTTTCATTATGCCTTTCTTGTAGAACCATTTATTATGCACCAGGAAGTGGTCAAAGTGAATTTCCTTTCCTATAGGTGGTGTTTCAATCAAAATGCATTCTAGACTACTAAGGAAACGTTGGTTTTTCTTCAAAATCTTTTTAAAAAGTTGAGGTACTGGGTCTTTCATACAAAGAATTTGACCGTTCATGCATTGTGAACCCCACATGCATCAACAGTCGAGAATCTCCCCACGCCAATGCAATGTAATCTTTGCATATGTTTAATTACTTGTGTAGCAATGCCCGTGAGGTGTGGTTATCAAATTATCAATTATAATCCAACTGAACCATTTCTTATGTCATCAAGATGACAAATAGGAATCTCCCATCACCAATGGTCACTATCATATTTGGTTATGTATGTATATATATATATATAGGGAGCTTTAGTTGAGGGACACTCTTGTGAGGCTCATTCTGTATTGTATTTCATTCATCCAAACCGTCTATTTTGTAGTACTCGTTCAAAGATCATCTCTACAAAAAAAATCACTTGAATCCAATATCATTTGACCACTCTATTAAATTATTGAAATTTTAGTACTTTCTTGAAGCACCATGTTCGTTGATTTTATAGGACACAATTGGATATCGATACGGTTTCCGATTTGTCTAATTTTTTGCAAGGATGATCTACGAATGTATACTTAAAAAATAGATGGTTTGGATCGTTGAAAAAAAATTCGTAGAGTACCCTAAAAGGTATCCCTCAAATAATTTGAGAAATCCCTCAATAGAAGGGGACTGATATATACTTCATTATAAGATTAATAAATGTTTTAGTACCATGATACTAGTCCTTTATTCTTATGCTTTAATATAAATTAATAAATAGTAAATAAAACTCTATGCACTTAACATGTGCCAAAATCTTCATGCAAATACTGTATACAATTAGATTAATTTTTAGTTTTCTGAATGTTTGTATTTTAGATGAATTCTTTGATTAGGTTAAAAAGATGTAAACCGTCCAATAAACAAACGAAAAGTTTACTTTTCAAAGGTTGGTGGAGAATGAAGAACTTGATTCTTTTTCCCAAAATTAATGTTATGATATCCAAATATTGGTAGTTGCTTGTAGCGTCATTCTGCAGCCTTGAGTATTTTAAAATAAAATTAGGTTAAATTTAGAGTGTAAGATGACAAACTGAGAATGTGCTAAATTTTTTGTGACCTAAACCAATAAGGCAAATCCAAACACATTTTACCACCCCAAAAAACCAAAAAAATAAAATAAAGGTGGTGTAGGATTTGATTAGATTAAAGTAGAATATCGCTTGTATGAGAAAAAAAAAATCTTCCAGAATAGTTAAAAAAATATACTAGGTATATTTTTCACAATGAGGACAGCATGAAACAAGTTCCAAACCAGGAGAGAGTGTTGAAATAAGTCTCACCGTGGCTGAGACGAAAGCAGATACCCAGCATGAGATTCACCTGCGACTTAGGAGGAGGAGGATCTGATTCTAATATGAATAAATTTTCTTCTAACAACGTTAAATCTGATGGTTCCCACTTTAAGAAAGCTATGCAATCTTATAAGGTCACTGCACGGCATGAGGCACAACTCATACCCCATATAAAACATGTTTGTGCTAGACGTTATACACGTCTGCATTCGGAGAAAAACTTACCTACACCCGTTGTACACAATAGGGGCTGGGTTACTCAATATGTTATAAACACGATGTGAATAGGTGAGACACAGCAGAAAAACCTGTAGCTCTATTCTTAAGGTTTGAAATATTTTGTTGCTTTATATATGTTTCCAAATTGATATTATGCTTAATTGCTTCTTCTGGGCCTTGATCGATAAGTGTAAAACCTAGCACACGCAATTCGCAACATAAATTGAGAAGTTGCAGTCGTGTGATTTCAAGTTATATCACCATGAATCCCATTGTTTACCATTGTTTTCAAAAACTCACGCCGTAAGCCAACTATTGTTTCTTTATTCTAGATATCTTTAATAAACACAAACACCCTCAAGAAGGGATGGCAAATAATACGCTTGAAAAATGATCTGCAATACTTCTACATCCTCAATTCTGCTACAACAGCTTAGAAGATTGGGTATCAAAAGAGAGGACGAATCCATTTCGGGTGGAGTTATCTTAAAATTTCCAAGACAGTACCTGAATTTCCCTTTTGTAGATGGGGACGTAGAAGTGATGGTTTCCACAAAGCCGGCCAATGAAAGCCAACCGTGCTAAAATGTTTCGATTTCAAGCTTCCTAACTCTGCGCATATCATCCTCCAAAAACCCTTCATTCTGTTTACTACATCTATGTTGCATCTTCTATTGGACTAGAGGATGATACTCAAAAGTGATTCAGAGTAAAATCATCTTTGCCAATAAGATTTTTTGGGCTTTTCGCTATTCAAGATACCACCAAGAGTGGCCAATGCATCTTGATATTTACGAATTTTGAGGAAACCGCTTATCATGGAAACTTCTCTGTCTGAAAGTTCTGCTTTCTCCATGACCATATCAACAAGGTTAATTAAGGTATCCTCCATAGATAAAGCTTGGAGTCCTTCGGCCAGCATAGCAAATGATGAGAATTCTGGTAAATATCCTTTCCCCGTCATCTCAACTGCAAATTCAACTGCTTCTGCAATTGGTCCTCCACCATTACAAAGCCCGCGAAGGACAATCTTATATGTTATAGAATCTGGAGGATCACCTTTTTCCATCATTTCTCGAAAAAGCCTCATGGCTTCTGTTGTTCTCTTTCGTTTAAATAGTGATTGTATTACAGGGTTATACGCTTGTGGAGACGGAACCAACCCTTTCATCTGCAGACTTCTGAGGAGTCTACTTGCAACCTGAATTCTACCTGCCTTACATAACCCCCCAATCAGGGTCCCATATGTGACTATGTCTGGTTCACACCCATTTGAAGTCATTGTCTGAACAATATCTGCTGCCTTCTTTATATCCCCCGCCCTACAGAAATATGTGAGCAGGGAATTGTAGGTGAACTTGTCAGGCTTCAAGCCTTCCATTATCATCTGGTCCATAAGCTGAGAAGCTTCCTCCACCCTCCTACTCTGACAAAGGCCATCAATAAGGATGTTGTAGGTCACTGAATTTCTTGAAATCCCCTGGAGTTCCATCTGATCAAAAATCTCCTCTGCATCTTCGATTCTCTTGTTTTTACACAATCCATCAATGAGAGTATTGTATATAACTACATTTCGTGCGCAGCCTCTCAACTCCATTTCTTTCAGCAGGTTCAGAGCCTCCTTTAACTTCCCTCTAGAACAGTAGCTATCAATCAGCATACTGTAAGTAAACCCATCAGGTTGACATCCATTCATCTTCATCTCCTCAAACAGTTCCACAGCTGCTTTATGATTACTGTTCAAGAAGAGACCTTGAATCAGGGAATTGACAGTACAAACATCAGGTAAGATTCCCTTGCTAGTAAGAACACGTGCAAGTTTAGTTGCCTCTTCAACCCGGTTCTCCTTACACAACGTGCTAATCAGAGTATTATATGTGACGGTATTTGGGGAACAGTCCCTGGAAACCATCTGATCAAGAATTTCCACTGCCTCTTCAATCTCACCCAACTTACACAACCCAGAAACCAATGAGTTATACGTATAAATATCCAGATCAAATCCCTGTTGGAGCATCACATCCATGATCTCCAAAGCATGCTTAACATGCCCCACCCTGCACAACCCCTTCACCAACGTATTAAACGTAAACTGATCCGGGGAGAACCCCTCATTCGACATCTTTTCTATAAAACTCAACGCTTCCTCAACCTTACCCTCTTTGCAAAACCCATTAACCAAAACATTAATAGTCACATTAGTCCGAGGGCACCCGTATTCTGCCATCTGGTCCCTCATTCTCAATGCACCTTTCATGTCACTTTCCTCAATATACCCCTGCATTAGGGTCGTGAACGTTTTCTCATCCGGCGATAAGCCATGGTTTGACATCTCTTCCATCAACAAAAGGGCAGGCCTAATCTGATGAGCTCTACAAAGAGCCTTTATCAAAATGTTAAACGTGGAAACATCCGGCTTAATTCCTCTACTAAGCATACCCATATTCGCAGTTTCTACTAGTTTAAGTTTGTCCCCCTCAACAATAACATTCAACAAGAAGTTGTAAAAATGAGTGTCTGGTTTGCATCCGAATTCATTTTCCATCATTTCCACAACACCAAGAATTTCATCATACAAATCAAACGCCGCATAGCTCTGAACAAAAATCAAGAAAGTACCTGAGCTAATCTGGCAACCGGCGAGCTTCATCTCGTCCAAGATGTTCCTCATGGACTCGAAAGACCCCACCTTTCCGAGCTTGCGAAGAACCTCCTCGTATATGGTGGAATTGGGAGTAAAATTGGGCTGCTTGGAGGCCCAGTCGAACAGGCGAAGCGCGGATGACTCGTCGTTCTGGCGACGGAGGGTGTCGAGAAGCTGCTGTGGAGTGAAATCTGGAGGGAGGTGGTGGGTGGAGACAGGGGTTGAATAGGAGAGTGAGGAGTAGGTGACGAGCTGGTCATGGTGATGAAGGAGCGGGAAAGAGAGAGAAGTGAAGGGTTTGAGAGGCGGTGGCGGTGTCCGCGTTATGGAGTGTGTGAAAGACCAAGGATAGCATTTGAGACAGAAGGAGAGAGCCATTGAAGCAATTCAACAAACACATAAGATGCTTAGGCCATGGTAGAGCTTAACGAAAGCAGCTTTTAAGTTCAGCTGAAATGAAAACTCTCTAGCTTTTGGCTGCTTAAGGTTAACGGGTGAACAAACAACTTGAAGTACAGAAAGCGAGGGACGGATAAGTTGCTGTTGTTCTTGGACCTCGTCCTGGGGGGTATGCTTTTTGGCTTTTATTATGCCAGGAGAGGCTCACCCATACGACGTCGTATTGGTGAGCTTCCTACAGTTGACAGTTCTCTAAGCTGATGTTCTCTCCTTGCCTCAATACGAACTGATTGGCAAAAGTTTGTCACTTTTTAGTTCTTATCTTACTAATTACGATTATCTTAATAATTTAGAATGATTTAGACTATTATTCACGTCACACAAAATGGGTAAAATTGAACCCTACAAATTAAGAGAGATTTCTCACTCAACTATCTCATCGAGTACAAAGTCATAGAAGAAAAACTCAAACTGCCCCCCCTGCTATGTAGTACAAAATCTTAAGATAAATTCCAAATATGCATAATCAATCTACTTCTTTCATGAGTCATGACTCTACAAAATTTTTTGAAGGTCATACAAAATTCTAGATTTGAAACAATGTAGGTATGACTCTAAAACTGACAAAGCATTTTATGATTGAGCTGTTCTACCTAACTAATGAAGCCACGTGTCCACCCCTACTGGGAAGATAGATCGAAGTAGCGAGGGCAGTTTCAGCGACTGGAGGGAAACACTTGCCTATGAAAGTGACGTGCATCCACCTTGACGGGGACGATAGAATGAATTAGCAAGGGCAATTTCCACAACGGGAGGGAAACTTGCCTACCAATGCGGCGAGAGAGACAGACACAAGGGATATGCAACAACGGGACAGGTAAGTTATTGCCCTTCAACTAAGGGTCACGTGGCTGTGCGGCTCTGCCCTGATTGTACGACGTCATTGTAACAATTACACTCACAACAACTAAGGCATGTAACATGAAAATTGAAATGGCCACATAATCATATCAACGAAAAATGCAGATAGGAAGACGGGGGCAATGTAACGGGTAAGCAAGTATTTCTCCACATGAACTCATCATCTGCTTAAAACCACACTCAAATGGTTCATTGAACCACTCCTGAGAAACAGCCCATTAGATAGATCAAAAATCCATATCGGTGAATACAAAACACGCCAAGAAATCAGCAAGAAGGAAGGTCATAAAGCAAGCTCCTTTATACTGCTCCAAAGTAAAATGACAAGGGTCATATACAACACTTGAAAAGAGTAAGGTGTCGTCTAAACCCACCACAAACAGCTACATATTAGTTTGTTGACATGCGGCTACTAAAGCAGCCACTCAACAAATAGGTTCTATCAAATAAACATATCATATGATATACCGGAAACCACAGACACTTGTTCAAAACGAATAAGAAACAATGGCGAAACTTGGAAATTCATGCCATCATTAGCCAAGTCGCCATCCCACAATGTATAAACATTCCACGCAAGTAACAAAAGGCTGAAGGGAAGAACACTCCCAACCAAATAGCCTATGATTATCTAGCTGGCACGGCTTTTAATGACATCAAGACCAATCTCAGTCGGATCAGTCGCTTGCAACTCAACCTGGATTCCATCAAGCTCTCTCTTAAATCTGTCTTTCGAGCTTGCATAGATCATCTTGCTTCTCACCCTTGATGTATCAGGAGACCTTCATAAAAACAGCAATTGAATTTTATATAAAAGATGATTAGACAACGAAGTAAGCACATAATCGAAAATAATTAAAGAATTGGCATTACCATGCAATGAAGAATATGCGGCTCTTCTGGACACCTTCTGGTGTAAGGAAATCAAAATCAAACACAGCATAACGGCATTCATCAGCGGGAAGTTTTCCGGCGAACTGCTCATAGGTCTCTGTTGGTTCACCAACAGATTCCACCACAACTTGCTTTTGCTTCTCCTCAATCTTGAAAACAATTGAGCGGTAGGTCCTCTTGGCCTTAAGCTCCAAAAACTTCAATTTGCAATCATCATGCACAGCCATACCAGATGCTGCGTTGGCCTGTAAATTGCATGCAATGAGCAAAGATCAGACAGCAACATCACAATATAATAGGAGATACATAATTTAAATTAAAAATATATTTGAACAAATCAAAATTACCAAGACAATATGAATCTCCACAAGCAAAAACAAACGGTCTATACGCACTCTCAACCAACCCATAATTTTTCATTTCCAACAGAAAAAGGGCATAACGCAGCTGAAATGCACACAATTTTTTAATCCTTGGTAAGTCTTTTCATGCTAAGATCTTAAAATTAAAATCCCCCTCAATGTCTAAGCATCCTAACAATACAACCAAAAGTTATCCATTTCAAACTCCTTTCATGAACCCCTTTCGAAAAACAGACACAAAGTGCACTTCTATTTGTTTAGTTTTGGTCCGACCCATGTGAAATTAACTCAACCACAACGCGCGTACACATCCATAGCTAACAAAAAAAATAGATCAACAATTTGTTTAATATAAATAAAACATGAAAATTAAGTATCGACCATCAATATTACACAATAAGTACCAAGTAATCATTGATATAACATATCATAAGAAAAATAAACAATTAAATCTAACACGGACCATCCCAACCCGTCTGCTACAGATACTAGATCCATAACATTTCCAATCAGCAATAATCAGATAAAAATTCGGCAACAAATAACCAATCTAGACTAAAGCAAATCGCGATCCAACATTCAACATCAAAACAGATCTGAGAGCACGAGATGCAGAGATAAACAGTAAATGAGCTCAAATTCCAGCCAGCTTGGTTTTTAACTATCAGATCGACCACAACCGGCATAAACAAACAAATCAATCAAACCGATGATCCGTTTGGCTGCTACGAAATCGCAATCAGAGAAAAAAAAATTAAAAATCGTTTAATTTACTTTAATTTTCTTTAAATTTTCTCAGCAGCCAAACAGATACTAAGGTCATAACCCCAGGGTGTTGTTGGCGACGAAGAAGGAGGAGAAGATATAGGGAATGGTCTCTCCTCCGATGACGACTAGCTGTGTCTCGCAGAAGGAATGTTAAGCCCCTTTATATCCGGTGGCTCTCTGGATGCCAGAGGATTGACAACGTGGAGCTGATCGTATGATAGAGGAGCGGCTAATACACGG